AAAGAATTACCAGTCCAGCGTTAATTAGAATGTGGCTTTTAGACCTGAGGCACACACTAGCTGTGACTGATCCTCATCTCAACCCAGGAACTGCAGCATGACTGACGTTTTGGTTGAGATCATTTTTGGTGATGGAGACTCTTCTGCACGTTACAGAATGTTTAGCAGCATCCCTGGCCTCTACCTAGGATGCTAGTAGCACCCTACACTTCTCAACCCTTGAGACAACCAAAAATATCTCCAGACATTGCCCTGGCATGCAAATTCACCTTTTGTTGAGCACCAGTGTCTTAAGCCCTAGTGAAACCTAGTGAAACATCTGTAAAGTGAAACTAATGAGAGTAGAGAGCTGCTGTTATTGGTATACGGAGAAATAATGCATTTGAAAGGTTAGTCTGCAATATAAATATAAGGCATTATTATTTTATAGACACATTTCTTTATTCACATATTGAATTTAAGATATCTTCATGGGGAGCTGGGGACTCAGCAGGTCTCAGCTGGCAGAATACGATGAGACTGTTTAGGAGAAATGTATCCTCTTTTCAACTGTAATATCAAGAGTTAAGAATTTACAGACACGTCAATGTTTTAAACCCCTGCATAACAAGTTAACGAAAGGATTCAGGTGCTGAACAGGAATTTGATCCAAATGACCATTGAAGTTGATTTCAGCTTTGAAGATCCTTTGAAAATAAGAAAATTAGAGTGGGATTAATATTTCTAGAATAATCAATATCTATTTTCTAGAAGCACATTAATCTCCATTTATTGAAATGAAATTCATTTCCCTAGAAGTGGCTAAGTTCTCTGGAGAATGGATACACTGTAGGTGTGACCTTGGAAGCAAACTGCTCAAAACGAAACTGTATTTTCTAGGTGTTCTTCTTGAAAGACAATACTCTATATCTCTAAGAAACGGGAAGGGGATTGGGAGGCATGGCTTTGGAGCAGACAGCTCAGAGAATGGATGCTAAGGTGTTCCAATTGAGGTCAAAGCCTATGATTTGGTGTAGCTAAATGGACAAAATAAATGTGAGGTCAAGTTCATGCACAGCAGGGATGAGTACAGTATAGAGGCAGAAATGAATGGATATTCCTGTTAGGGAATATTGACTCTAAATCTTTATACATTTTGCTGGTACTTATCACTTCTAAAACTCTAAGAAACTCATAGAAGCTAGAAGATTTTCCTGGCATTTTCTGTAGTCATTCATTTTGAAAATAATATGAACAAAAATATCTACGTTCAAAAAGAGATCCTTTGCATTCAATTCTGTTCTTTTATTATTTCTTTCACATTAAAAAAATGAAGGTTGCAGAATGCAATTGTTTGTTTGCGCAAGTTACTTTTGCATAACGCCAAGCAAACACTTACAAAAGAATCAGTTGTACAAACAAAATGAGCTAAGAGAAATGATGATAAGAATTATCTTGTTGCAGCTAGTGATTCAAGTAGAATAAAAACAGTCTGTGGCACTGGGAAATTGAGGGCATAGCCATGAAGGAAATCAGCTGAAAAAAGGTGACCTGGATTTGGGGTTTACTTAACTCCTGTGAATGGGATATTAACAGATAAATCGAAGATTTGGAGCAATGACACACTATCTAACACTTAAAAGATTTTTTTTCCTTCATTTTGATCCTATATTAAGCTTCTCAAGAAATATTTACATCACCTGCTGCAGCATCTATGGTAAATGTACAATTGTATTGCATATTTTAAAACAACTTTAGTTTCTTTTGATTGACAACATTAGAGAAGAAAAAGAATATTATTTCAGAGTGTCTGGTCCTTTAAATTTTGGCAGATAAAGAAAACTTCTATGAAATGGAAGACATTTTTCCTCTTGGGTTTAAACCTCTAGTAAAATGTTGCTGACAGGCTAATTATAAATGTTTTATATATTTCGTGCATATGTGTTCCTCTCTAAACCAATTTAATTCCCATTAACGCTAATCTTGTTAATACCCACTCAGAGAGGAAAGGAATACTCTTAATAAACTATTGATTTATTTGAGTGATTTAAATGGAGGATGGGCAGAAACAGACGAGAGAAGAGGAAGAGCCACCATTTTCCCACAAATGAATTTCCTAGAATATTTCTCCAAATATTACCGAACATTAGGTTATAAATGGTATAAATAGGAAGGGGGGGGATAAAGTGACGAAGTGATCATCTTCCATCCATGAAAAACAAAAACATTGAAAACGAATTGCTAATTAATTCTTTTAGAGTACTAGCTCCAAAGTTAGAAGCGAGATACTACAAAGAAAGGTAGGTTTTCTCTCTTTAAAAAGAGGTAAACCAAAAACACACACGAGGCTCATACTTGTAAGCGCTAATTGAAATCTGTTTTTCTTTTTTTTAAAAGTCAGTTAAACCAACAAATGGGTAAGTTATGTTCCTAACACATCTTGTGCTACCCCTAGCGTGGCTGGCCACCTTGTCCTCCGTGCAAGAATCCAGTAATTCCTCTCCAATTCAATCAAGCATCCGTCAGTCAAGATTTCTGTATCTCAGGCTATTTTTAGTAGCCAAGAGGCAAGACTGCTCTTAAGAGAGATTGTGTCCAGGTCTGAGTAGTTTTCTTGGACAGAACTATGTAATAAGACTGGGTGCCATGGAACTTAGAAAACAAGAAAACACTCTTTCTGTCCCTTTTCAGATCATCTGAAAACTAGCTAACCATTTCTAAAGGTGCAGATGTCTTCCTTCCCATTCTCCCTGGAAAAAGTGGCATAAAATACGGAACGAGTGGAAGATGGAATTTTGTCCAGGGTCCACCATTTAGCCTTTAGATACATCATTTCGCCTCCCAGCGACTCAGTTTTCCTTTCTGTAAAATGGGATAATAATCGTTACTTACTGTGCTCTTATACGACAGAGCAAGATTTTTTTAAAGTATTTTAATGATCAAAAACGTGTATTTGAAAGCACTATGAAAACTGTGAAATGGGGTACAAACATGATAATACTAACTGGGAAATAATTTAAGAAAAAGTGGCACAGGAAAAAGGGAGAAAAATATAAGGATAGATATCAATTTTATCAGGGTCTTGTATTAAAAAGAGAGAGATGTTTATCCTCAAGATTTTCTGAAAACTTTTAATGACAACTGATGCTTATACTTTATGACTGGGTACATAGAACATAAAATAAACACTGAACATTGAAAGCGTTTAGACGAGTGAACTTTTCCTTTTCTGTTGATCCACGTGTTTGGCGTTGGTTATCCATTAAGATGGGGCTGGAGTGAGAACAATCTCTTAACATTCATTGAAAAAAATACTGAAACATATTTTCAGCACAAATATTAAACCGCCTCTTATCTACCGATTGGTAAAAAAATATATTATATTTTGATTTTTTTTTTTTTTCTTTTTAAATTATATGGTTATCCATCCCAGCCAAAGTCGTGCCCGGTCATCTGGTAGAACTTGAGGTTGAAAGGCCGGTAGAACTCGCGCAGCCTGCGCACCACCTCGCGGTCGATCTCAGGGTGGGTCCTGCCCTTGGTCTTGCCCAGGCAGTGGGGCCGGCTGCTGCCCTCCGCCTTCTTCAGGCAGGGGAAGCCCTTGGTCTTGTTGAAGTAGAAGTGCTTGTCCGTGATGATCCGCTTGAGGCCCAGGAAGTCCTGCACGCGGCCCAGCTCGCCGGCCGGGTCGCTGATGAGCCGCTCGCCGCTCACGAAGAGCATCTGGCGGATGGGGAAGTGGCGCAGCCAATGCTCCAGGTGCTTGGCGTAGATGCCGATCTGGATGGCGCTCCACGACGTGTCGATGAGGCCCGTCGTCCTGTTTTTGAACGTCAAGCTCTCGAAGGTGGGGATGTCGGGCCGCTTGGACAGCGTCTGTGTGTAGTCCGAGATGGCCCTGGTCACCGGGTCCCGCACCACCACGATGAGCTTGGTGTCCTTGGACATGGCCGAGATGCGCGCGGGCGCCTCCCGCGTGACGAAGTAACTGGGCGTCTTCTCCATGGTGATCTGCCCGTCCAGGGTTCTGGGCATCAGGTCCCTGAGAAAAGCAAAAAGGCACGTCAGAGATGTGCATAGAGAGCTCAGTCCCAGGACAGACGGTCAAGTACACGCTGGGGCCAGGCAGCAATTCCAGCTCCCCATCCCCCGCCCACTTGCTAGATGTCTGATGATGGCACAACGAGTTCCGCACCTCAGATTCCTCGTGTATTGAGCAGAGAATAATAGTATTACCCATCGCGTACAATTTTGTGATGATTAAACGAGTTAATATACCTCAACAGCTTAGAAAAGTGCCTGGCACCGAATAAATGCCATATTATTTTTTGTGTTTTATTATTGTTTATCCACAGTGCTGTAAGAAAATAACCTTGGTCAAAATCTTCAGGTGAATTAGAATATTGTCATCAACACAATTATACTGTTATGAGATAGTATTAAAATATCCTGAGTCCTTCCTGTAGTTTTCTTATAAACAAAGCAATTATATTCAACATCACGCAGCATATTACACAAAATACTTATGTTTGTAATTCCTGAGTTTTGCAGGCACAAACAAGACTTATTAAAGAATCCATCTTTTGCCTAATGATTTGAAATGCCATCATTATCATATTCTAAATATGTTGATTCCTTTCTACATTGGCCCAATTATAAGTGATTATCGTGTGATAGTATATTTTCATGTACACCAGAGTACATTCTGACTTTCTATTGTTCAACTTGCCCTTGATGATTCTTGTCTGTTTATTCCTCCTGACAAATGAGATATCACTTTGTCACGTTAAAAACAAAAACCCAGTTGGAGTCTTGATAAAGCAGATAGTGCTTCTCTATTCAAGCAGGGTTTCTACAGGCCTCGCCAGTCAAAACATATGAACAGGAGAGATTACATCTACTGGTTCTTCCAACTTAAGTATACTGCAATTAAATGCACTATTTGTTGAGATAGATACAGACAGATGGATAGTCAGAGATCTTTAGTTATTTCATTTTGTAGTTTCGATTTCTCTTTTAATGTAGGCATTACCTAGGATTGTATTATATCTTTAATTCCGATGATAGATTTGTTACTTTTGTTCATGGAATTTGTGGTTCGTTTTTATTTTGCATCTGCAAGGAAAGGATACACTTTGTGTCATGGGAGCTTGCAGTTATTAATTCCCTGTGATTTTTGTCCCAGCTACACCATCTGGGCTAACTACATTTTGTGAGACACGTCAAACACACACAAAAGCAGAGAAAATTGTCAAATCCATCTCATACACCTCACATCCAGTTTCAAAACTTCAGGATGGCCAATTTTATTTCTAAATCCCTTCATTTCTGCTTCTCCACCAGGCCAGCTGGATTATTTTAAAGTCATTCACAAACATCCTATCAATGGATTAATAAGTATTCCTGCTCCCCTCTGCATTATTTCTGGCACAAATTCCTCAATCTCTCAGGCAATCTGATGGCCCTGATACTCCCTTAGTTTTAATGATGCGGGTACTGGGACTCAGAAAACAATACTCCAAAATGAAGGCCTCAAAAGCAGCCTCAGAAGCAGAAGTTTTTCTCTGACCTTCTCCTTCCTGCCCCTCTGTCTTTCAGTCCTACTCTTACCCAAGACTCACCATAGAAACTAAAATCCCTCTCCCCCAAGGCAGGTCATAGAAACCGGAACTCCTTTTCCCCAAAGCCAGCCATAAAACCTAAAAACATTACTCTAACTTTCCACTTTTCTGTATAAAAATTGGCCATAAAGAAATTATCTGACCTATCCTGTTTGACTGTAGGTCGTAAGACCTTCATTCCTGAGAGGGTCCTGCCCCACGCCTAACAGGAAGGAAGGCATGCTCAGAGAGGCCAAGAAGAATCTAGACAGAGAGGCCTTTCGGGCTTCCCCCACTGGGTCTATTTGGGTTAGATCATATCCTTTTTGTCCAATCATATTTCTATACAACTGTTCATATTTAGCTAAGCCCAAGCATAAAAATGGACAATTTCCTCTGTATCTTTAGGTCTTCCCTCTGAAGGCTCTTGCATATGCAGTAATAAGCGTGTATGCCTTTTCTCCTATGAATCTGCCTCTCATCAGTGATTTTCAGCAACCCTTCAGGAGTTGAAGGGGAAGTTTTCCCTTAGCCCATACTCAGGTTTCCTCCCATTTTTTTTGGCGGGGTGGGGCGGTTATTTTTGTCACTTCAGTCGGGTTAGCTTTACTTTTTATAGGCATTTGCTTTCTGTTTCTGAGCTTTTAATTTTTGAAATAAATGTGAACTTCCTTTTTCAAAATAACTCTTAAGGTACCGCATTACCCACCTCCTAGACAGACCTTAAGGTCTGGGTAAGAGTAAGTGAAGACCAGATAGTTTGGTGTTGACACAAAGGAGACACACATTGGCATAACCATCTATGCAGATTCCGTGGTGTGAATGCATATAACTCATTGCTCTGTGACTCCTTTTATGGAACTGAAAAGTTGGCTAGGCCAACCTAATATAAAAGCTTACGTTACTCTTGTCTAAGGTGAGCCAGGAGATTTATCCAGAGATGGTTGGAATTTCCCAGTGAAGGAAATTTAATCAAATGTGTGAAAAAGTTTTGGGCTTGAAAAGCAACCATCAACTACACAGAAGTGATAGGAAAGAGTATTTATAGATTTTTTTTGAAAGAGCCAGCCTTGCTGTCTCTTTTTTTTCTATATATCTTTGACGTTTAACTACTTTATTTCAAATTTTGACCAGTAAAATAGAAAGAGCATAATACTTCACTTGGGAGCTCCTGGTTGGCCTACTGGGGAAGGGGTTGGGTGTATGGGTGTGGTTGGGGTGGGCAAGAGCTGCAGGAGACTTTGCAGAGATCGAGGCTATAGATTGCGCTGGGCCAGAGGAAACACTGCTAAAACCACTAAAAAAAGGAACCATAGTTTAAATAATCTCAATAGAGTAGGGAAAAGGGCTATCCAACATACGAGGAGTTTGAAGAGGAAACAGCTAAAATCGGATTGCAAAAGAAAAACACATTCATTACTGTCATTGGCAGGGTGAGGAAAACTGACTGATTTAGCATGGGGTGGGTGTGGAGAGTCGGGCTTAACTATAAGCTACCTGCAAGCTTCTTTCTGCAAAAATAAAGAAACGATAGTCTAAATAAATCCTAATCAAGCTTACATTGTAGAAAACGGTTGCTTTGTGACAGGACTCACAACAGAATTCTTTAAATTGCAATCTTTAAATCTTTTTTTCAAAAAAGTCAATAAAAGGGATAGACATTTCTTTTCAAAAAAGTCAATGAAGGGGATACATTTTTTTCATACATTTTCTTATTGCAAATCTTACTGCATTTTAATGTTCAACAAAGCATCACACTAGCATATAAAACAAAAGGCATATGTATGTTGGAATACCGCATTTCAAAGTGTCTAGAACTTGGAAATCATTCTTCTTTACCACAGTAAGGTACATATTAGGTTGGTGCAAAAGTAACTGTGGCTTTTGCAATGATTGCCAAAACCACAATTACTTTTGCACCAACCTAATACTTTTAATGGCAACACCTACAATTACTTTTGCACCAACCTAATACTATGACGATGCTTTGTGTAAAAGCTGGGGCCCAGGATGGGTAGTGAAAGATCTATTACAGTATTACAAAAGGTCTATAGAAATACCAGGCAGGCTATGGGAGCACGAAGGTGCGTGCACTGAGAAATCACGTGAGGCTTGCCTGAAGACAGAACAGGTGAGGAAGGATGGGAGAAATTCAACTGGATGATGGAAGGCATAGGTCCTAGGAGAACTTACTTCCCAAGCTAAGTAGCGTAGACCATTCCAACCTCCCCTCTAAATAGTGAGTAGAATTTGGAAACATTTACAGTAGGTATAAGGATGAGGAAACGGGTTGAGACCAACACTGTAAGGAAAAAAAATATAGAAGTGTGTTTGTTTTGTCCTGAGGGAGGCAAAGATAAGCAGAAATTTCACAAGCAAATTAAGAATTATTGCAAGGTAGATTATACACAGTTGCTCTTCTTCCCATAGAACTCAAAGAGAATTCACAATAGCCAAAGGGTGGAAGCAACCCGAGTGTCTATTGACAGATGAGTTAATAAACAAAATGTGGTTTATGCATACAATGGAATATTATTCAGGAATTCTGACACACACTCCAACCTGGATGAACCTTGGGGACATTACGCCAAGTGAAATAATCCAGTCACAAAAAGACAAACGCTGTATGAGTTCACTTATATGATATATCTGGGGTACTCAAATTCATTGAGACAGCGAGTAGAATGGTGGTTTCCAGAGGCTGTAGGGAAGAGGAACAGAGAGTTATTGTTCAGTAGGTATGAAGTTTCTGTGTTATAAGATTAAAAGAGTTCTGAAGGTTGATCACATAACAACGTGTATGTACTTAACACTACTGAACCTAGCAATGGTTAAAATGGTAAATTTTATGTTATGTGTATTTCACTACAATTTTTTAAAAAAGAACTTAAGGGAGAACAAACATTTCAGTGGCATTGATAGAAATTAGTTAGACAAAAGAGTCTTTTTGCTTTACGGTTAATTAAACATTAGAACAAGGTACCGCTGAAGGAGATTCTGGTTTTGCTAAAAGGGAAATACAATTTATGAGATTTTTGTGCAGCTGATCTCGAATCAAAAAATGAGGTTTATGGTCCATGCCCACTGCTTGCTGCATGATCACGAGATAGTAATTTAGCATCTCTATGCTCAGTTTATTCACCTTACCAGAAAAATCAAGTCAAAGTTTCAAAATTCCTGGACTGTAATGAAGTGTCAACATGGCCACTATTACTGTAGGGAATAGAGGGAAGCACTCTTTTTAAGAATGTGACACCCAGTGTTCTGAATTCTCAACTTCCGGGAGAACTCCACTTAGTCCAGCTAACAAAGGGTTTAGAGAGTTAGAGCTCTTTGCCATGTTCCTGACACACCTGCCCATTTGTCATTCAGACAGTGAGGATGCCTGGTTTGAAGGCCATGAGCTGGCTACATTATTTGGAAGGGCAGAGCCTGGCTTATTATCTTATTATGGTGTGAGAGAGATGAGCTCCGTTTTTAAGGG